CCGGCGCTCCGGGCCCCGCGCCCCGCCTCCTGCGGGGGTCTGCTGCGGCCGGCCCTCTGCTCCTCGGCTCTGCCCGCTAACATTTCCGAGCGAGCGCCCGAGTTTGGTTTCTCGGGCCGCGGGCGCCCGCGGATCCGCGCTGCGGCGAATTTTCTCGTAACTTTCCTGCGTGGCTGCGAGGCTGGGCGCGGGGCGGGGCGAGGGTCTGCCGTGTTCCCACGCGGTGCACTTGCGAACGATCCTTCGCGGACTTCTGTACTTTTTTCACCCAGCTTTAGAGAAAGTGAGAGATCTCTTCTGTCTTTTGTCTGTCCATGGAAGTAATTATATTTATCCATTGATAGTGCTGGAATTGGGGGTTTATTTTGGAGTAGTGCTGAGCATTCCTTTTTTATTGTCAACGCTGAGTAAATTGAAATTGAGTCATGTGTAGATCTTCGTTTTATAAAAGCTCCAGGTCACAATAGTTGAGACTAAATTACGTGCCTGTTATAGTACTGTATATGGCTTTTTCAGTAATAGCCTGCTGCACAAGTAACCTCCTTTTTTTCAGATGGTAAATTGATGCTGGTGGTCCTGGTAGTAGGATTCCTACGAGTGGTATTACCCGTATTGATAAAAGCACCTTCGTTGAATATTAACTGAACGCTGCTTAGCATCGTTACATACATTTTCATATTTGTTTAATGCCCTACAGATTCCCTGTGGTAGTTAAAAATGAAAAATGGAAACCTGAATACTTTAATCTGTCCAGATTTTGCTCTGCTGACTTTCTTTGGGCCTCCGGAGTAAGCATGCACTAACTGTTGCAGGAACGTCCTCTTCTTTAAAGGGGTTTGGAAGAGGGTGATTGTGGGTGCGTTTAGAGTTAGGATTGTTGCCGTTAGGAAGCAGGTGAGGTGGACATTCCTCAAGGGAGCACCCAGAAGACCAAATCAGTACCTTACAAGTCATAAGAAAAGAAAAACTTAAAACATTCACATGAAGAATAATATTTAATATGCATATAGTGTGCAACTCAACGACGTTATTTTCAATTACTGTTGAAGCTGCAGAGAGAGGACATACGACCAGTGGCAGCATTTGTTTTTCGGTCGTTGTCCTGAGTAGCTATGGATTGTGCTCATAAAATACAGTGTTTAGTGCCACAAACAATATATGCAGCAGTAGTGGTTATGAATTACTGAAGGATATTTTTGAACTCTTTTGGTTAAACTCAATCAGAAGCGGTATTAAGGGAAAAAAACCTAACAAAACAGTGAATATGAGCTAACCCCAAATTAGAGCTTCTATCTGAAAGTATAGTTTGAGAATGTTTTCCTCTTCTTTGATTAAAGTTCTAAAGTTAAAGAAGTCTTAACACGGAGAAGCAACAAACTTGAAAAAGCGTATAGTTAGTAGTTCTAATCTGCTGTTAATTCTTAGTGATTTAAGTAAATTCACTTCTGATCAGGAGTCACAGAGCTATTTTCATTGTAGTACAACTTATTGTTAAGGAGTTTGGCTTTCATATAATACTAGTTTGTCTTGCTCTGCAGTGGTTGTTTAGGAGTTCGGTTTTCTCACAAGTTGAGAAAATGCAAAGTACTGAAACTGTTTTAACAAGTAAAGGTGTCATTCTTCCTGGTTCTGTAAGCTGAGGTGCATTGTAAGATGTGTGATAAAGTGGAAAAGTAAAATTTTAGAGAAAAATTAGGACTTGAAAATAAATTCCAGAAGAGTAATTAAAATGCTAATATGCTTGGCCTAGAGTTTATAAACCCAGAATCTTGAAAGCAGGATGACCGATGCCTGCCTGACCAAAAGAGTTTTGTTTAGCCTGCTTAGTATTTGTGTAGTGTAGGGGTTAGGTTTTTTTGGTCTTTTTGAGACAGGGTGTCGCTCTGCAGTTGAGGCTGGCCTTGAGCTCACTTAGTAGCGTAGGCTGGTCTGGAATTCGCAATGGTCCCTCTGCCTCAGCCTCCCAAGTGCTGCGATTACAGGCATGCGCCACCACACCTGGACAGGGATTAGGTTTTGAAGTAGTATTTTTATATGAAAATGCAAGCTGCAGCCAGGTGTGGTGGCAGCATGCCTGTAACCCACGCCTATAATCCCTGCACTCAGGAAGCTGAGTCAGGAGAATCATTGCTAGTTCAACACCAGCCTGGGTTACAAAGTGAGCTCAAGGCCAGCCTCAACTGCATGGTGAGATCTTGTCTCAAAAAGACCAAAAAAAGGTAAGCCTGTAGGTTTTTGAAAAAATATGAATAGCTTGCCTTTCTGGGCAAGCTTTCCCAGTTGATCCTGCTGAATAGTTGTGGCCTTAAATTGGGTCTTGTGTTTCCTTTTTCACCATGGCCAGGGTCACTTCCTATTTTTCCAACATTTTACGTTTGTCACACTGGTGTAAAATTATTAAAATGGGTGAACTCCCCAAAACCTTGAACTTCCTAGTGGCCATCTTTAAAGAGAAAAATCCAGAGTTTTTAAAGAGTTGTTTTGCATGTGAAAAGGCCTTGTGTCTTTAAAAATTTATTTTCAGGATGGCTTTTTGGGGGATTAACATCAGTTCATATTTTTAGATTTCCAGATTATGAGGCCACACACAGCTTTTTTCATTTGCATACAGTTACCACTTTGTTTTTTTAGTGTATTTAGATAAAATATTCCTCATGAATTATATGTCTAAAATAGCCTTTTATGTTTTATAATTTTATGTTTTATTTCAGAATAAATGGTCATTAGAGTGCTTAACTTTTTTCTTAAACTGTATTCCTTAGTTATGCTCCGTGGTGTCCTGCTTGTCAAAATCTTCAACCAGAGTGGGAAGGTTTTGCTGAATGGGGAGAAGATCTTGAGATAAATGTTGCAAAAGTAGATGTCACAGAGCAGACAGGTACTGTAAGTCTGGCTGATTCTGTTTACTTTGCGTGCTGAGTTGGTGTTTGTCTGTTTTTGGCATTACGTGGTCTGACTGTTAGTTTGAAAACAATGGTCTGCACCTAGTGGAGCAGTCCTTGCTGCTCAGGCCCATTTGATCACCTCCCTGTACTGAGCTTTGTGTGCAGTGGCAAAAGCAGGTTCCTGGTTGTGACTGCAGCTCAGTCCTTGTGTGTGTTGCTCTGAAGGAGCTTTGGAAACATCATCCTTTCCACTTCTTGCCCGTGCAGCTTCCTCTTACATTTTTTAGGCTGTGCCCCAGGCTCCAGACTAGCACCTAAGATGCTTTTGAGTAGTCTAAAGCACTGTGGTTCAAGTGGAGATTGCTTGGCCAAGGGATTGTGTGCATCCACACCGTGATTCAGGACGAGGAACATGGGGCTGTGGCTTTTGTTTGTTTTGTTTTGTTTTGTTTTTAAATCAAACTCACATTTGCTGACAAGATTGGAATCTCTGAAGTTGAATTCCAAATTCAATACCTATCCTCTGAGGGTGGGGCTCTTAACTGCAAAGCCCTCATGGTTATTGGGTCACACTTCTGACTTTATACCCTGCACAAATGTGGCCCTTGCCCTTGGGATGCCCCTTCTGCAGGTCAGCCCCTGTCTGCTTGTTTTTCGTGGCCTGCCTACCCTGTCCCAAAGAGGCAAATTTTTTGAGCACTTAGCTATTCCAGCACTCTTTCCAAGGTTGTGGATTCATTGTTTAATTCTTGTACAACCCTGTAAAATATATGATATCCGCACTTTACAGATAAAAAAACTGAGGCACACACAGGTTATTCCTGTGCCATCAGTGCTTGACACGTGTTTAGTAATGCAGTAGCTGTTGATGCTTATTGTTGCTTTTCTCATGGAAGATTCATAGTATTTCCCAGTTTTAGTAGCAACATACTGCCTTTGTTTCTTGAATGTCAAGTACAGTTTCATTGGGGTTCGAGACCTTTCTAAGCCCTACTGTTAATCACACAGTGATACCATTGATCAAGTGCTTGTATGTATTCACAAATGTCTTCGCTATTCAAGCTTCTCAAAGTTTTTAATTGAGATAATGTACAGTTACGTGTTTTTTTCAAAGTTGCTTTAAGTACAGAATTCATAATTTACTACAAAGCTCAGCTGTTTTAGTATAATTTCATATTCTTATTATTTAAATTCAGAATCATCTTGTAAGTAGTCATGAGTGGTCCATATGAAACCTGCTGTATGTTTTTTATCTCTTATAGGACTGAGTGGACGGTTTATCATAACTGCTCTTCCTACGATTTATCAGTAAGTATTTGAAGAGTCTCAGTTATGGTGAAGGATGCATATAGTGTAATCAGAATAGTGTTTGAAGAGCAGAGGTGATGATCTCATATTTAGAAGGCATTTTAGAGCATTTATTTTGCTCCGAGTGGTACTGCAGGTTCTTTAGGTAGACAAATGATGAGTGAATGGTCCCCGTTCTCACAGTGTGCATTTGTTTCGCGAGGTGATGCTCATGTGACGTGGTGTGATCCTGTTGAGCATAGTAACCATTTAGGGGTCCAGCGTGGAGGTGAGTCCCATGGGAGGTTGGGTGAAGGGGAGAAATCACCGTTAGCTGGAGCAGCTCTGAGAAGATGGAGTTTAAATGAAATCTTAGCAGTAACATTTATAGGCGTGTGGGGTAAGCATCCCATTCTGAGGACAGACTCGCAAACAGCAGGAACATGGTGTGTTTGGAAAGCAACCAAGTGCCCTGGCACAGCCTTGGGAAGAGAGTGGGTGATACAGTTGTGTCAAGTTAGAGTGAACAAGACTGCAGTCTACAGTATCGGTTCTTGTAGTTTGACTTTATCTTCTAAACTGAAGGTTGGAGATTTCAAATCTGTCTGCCTACGCTACATGTTAACATCATGTTGCTGGTGGGCAGAATACCATAAGGTACTTTTCTGCTCGTTTAAGGTGAAGAGAACAAATTGCAGTTCTTTTGTATGTTTTTTGCTTTTCTTTTTCCATCTTTTATTCACCCAGTTTTTAAATTTACCCCTTTTTGTGTCTAAATTTCAACTCCCTGTTCCTGTACTTGTTTATCCCTCCTTTTTCATTCATTGTTTCTCCCCACATGCCCTTTAGCTGGCTATAGTTAGCCTCGCCTTTTTTACTTTTCCTACTTTCTGTGGAATCATACCCATCTTTCAAAGAGGTGTTGGGGTTCCACTTGCTTTTCAAAACTTTGTGTTTTGGGATGAAGAGTTCTTTGTGGTCTCTTTCTGAATGAGTAAGGGATTGCCTCAACCCTGCTGTAGGTAGTAGAGACCTTTGTAGAGGCTTTGTACTTGGTCCTGGGAGAGCATTTATTGCTGTGGGACCGAGCTCCATATATTTCAAGTGTCTAGGAGGTAGTCAGTGTATAGTAGGATAAAGGCGACTCTGAATAGTAGCCCGAAATCCCTGGGAAGGAAGCACTCTATCAGATGCCTTGAGCTCTGAAAGTAACAGAAAAGTACCTTAAATATTTAACTTAGAGTTTAGCAATAGTTGGTGTTGATGTGTCAGCAAGTATTCTGGTAATTTCTTTAACATGTGTATTACAAATAAGGCTTAAAAACAATTTTCTGAGGTATAGCTACTATGTGTTTCATGGTTTTATTATTTGAGACTAACAACAACGTCTTAAGGCTTATGATTGTTTACGTTTGGGGCTCAGAGCTCATCAGGAGGTAATTTATAAGCTTTTTGCACTTTGCCAATGAATTTGAATGTTGGGATTGGTTGTAAAGTGAAGTGAAGTAGTAAAACAAATAGAAAATGTAGTTGTCAGTGTTAGTTAATACTTCTTTTGATCTTTGTTAGCTGTAAAGATGGTGAAATTAGGCGCTACCAGGGTCCAAGGACTAAGAATGACTTCATAAACTTTGTAAGTGAAAAAGAATGGAAGAGTATTGAACCTGTTTCATCATGGTTTGGTCCAAGTTCTATTCTGTAAGTATGAGGGGTTTTTATCTTATTCAGAATTAATGGGAACATACAGTTACGTTTCATTTGAAGTACGAGTAGTTTCTTTTTTTTTTTTTTTCTTTTTGAGACAGGGTTTTGCTATGTAGTTGCTGGCCTTGAGCTCATTTTGTAGCACACTCTGGTCTCCAACTCCCAGCCATCCTTCTGCCTTAGCCTCCGGAATGCTGGGATTGCAGGCGTGCACCACCACACCCGGTCGTCTTAACTTCCTAAATAAAGCTTCATATTTTTAGTTGATTTAGATCAAACAGATCTTTATGCTTGTTAAAGTAGTGGGAGGAATTCTGTAGAAATAAATTTAATGTCTTTTAAGGATACTTTTAACTTTGTGGATTTGGTCATATATATCATTACAGACTAAATAATTCCTGGAAGATGGTGAGTAGTACAATGGGTAATACTCTAGGTTGAGTGTAGTAATTTGAATGAGGGGACTCAAAGTTTTATCTGCTTATAGTGCCTTTAGGCTTCAGTTCTTGATGTGAAGTGGTTGAATTGTGTTTGGTTGGTTGTATGAATAGTGAGTCTGAACAATGACTCTTAATGGCATGATTAACCACTGAGCTAGCACCTAGCTAAAAGGTAGATACAATCTCCTTAGTGGTTAGGATTGGGGATGACAGGCATGTTTCCTGCTACACAGCTGGGGTACAAGGCCTCTCGTCATTTAAGAGACATTCAGGAATAGTGAGTTTTAAGGAAGTTATGGTCTCCTGGCCCTTTATCCACTTGCCCTTGGAGGATGGGAAGCTAGAATACCAGCCACATAAAAGAAAAATGTTTTGGATTCTGGAAGTGGCAGAAGGATCAGCCCTAAGTGTATTTTTCAGTGGAAGTACTGTATGTCTTGTCTTTCATGCCTCATTTTTTTTGAGGGTCTTGCTGTGTATTCCAGGCTGACCTTGAACTCACTGCGTAGCCTAGGCTGGCCTCGAACTCACAGCAATCGTCCTTCCTCAGCCTCCCGAGTGCTAGGATTACAGGTGTGCACCACTATGCCTGGCCTTTCGTGCCTCTCTTGCACAACCTCTGAGTTGTCCTTTAGCAGGTAGAACTTAGCCTAGTGAACCACCATATCCAACTGAGTTAACAGGACCTACTCTTAGTGTGTATAATTAGTGAAGACTGCGGTGAGGCTACCTACGCAATGCTTTGTCTTTTAGTTCGTGTTGCTGTTCTGACAGTCTTTTAGACAAGCAACACAAAGTATTTTTGTGTGTTGAATAGAAAAGGTGCATAACGTTCATTTTTTAAAATCTTATAACCTTTCTCTGGTAGAAGAAAGTGGTTGATTATGAGTTTCTATTGAACCCTCAAGGCAGTGGGTTACTTTTCTTTTTTTTTTTTTTGCACTTTAGGGCCTTGTGCTTGCCAGGCAAGTTCTCCACCCCAGCACAGGCTGCACCTTTTCTACTGCTACCAAACAGTAGCAGCTCCCAGTGTGAGCTGAACAGTTCACCACCCTGCAGTTGGCAGTTAGGCCAGCCACATTTTGGCTTTTGTGTGAAAAAGGCCTTGACGATAACTAGCTATGTTTCTTGCTAAACAGAAACATGATTGGAAACCCACAAACCCTTCTTGGTTTTGAAGCATCCCTTTTTAAACTGCTCGTCTAAACAAGCTGAAGTTCGTTGAGCAGAAAAGCAATAATTATTTTTACTTATTACGACTTAGCATTAATTTTCTATGTAGTTATTCATATGTCATTGAAAGTTATCAAACCAATGCTATTATAAATTTTAATGTTAGCAAAATAGAAAGATAATTTTTTTTCTTTGAGGTGCTGGGAATTGAACACAATACCCCGTACATGGCTACGCATGTGCTCTGCCACTGAGCTACAGCCCTAGATGAAGAGATAATTCTTAACTAGGAAGAGTGATTAACAAGTCCCAGCAGTTGTTCGTTCAGAATGCCTTCTGTGCTAGTTTTTTGGAATATTATAATTTTGAATACGCATTGCCACTTTGAACTGGTTTCGTAGAACTTGTAACGTTTTACTTGGTCTATTTTGAACATGAGATGAAAGATAAGTGTGCATGTTGGTGCTGTGGCAGGAAAGGAAGAGAAATTATGAAGTATTTTTATTGTGATAAGGTCACATGGTAGCAATTGAGAAACTTACCTTTTATGAGCAAGCCTTCTACAGGCGTGAAGTCAGTGATGTGTGTCACTAATCTTGATAAACACCAGCCAAAAAATCTGTCATGTTGAAGCAATTATAGAGTAAAAAATAGAATCTATAGATATAGACAAAGCAATGTCTCTTATTCAGTTTTTCAACCATTTCTCTTTTTATTGTAGGATGAGTAGTATGTCAGCACTCTTTCGGCTTTCCATGTACATCAGGGTATGTATTAAAGTATTTCCTATCTCTTAAATATTTTTAACGTCATTGTTTTTTAAATGAGCAAATTATACCTTTTTTTCTTTTAATTTCAGACTTGCTATGACTATTTTATTGAAGACCTTGGACTACCAGTTTGGGCATCATACACAATTTTTGCTTTAGCAACTTTGCTTTCAGGACTGTTACTAGGACTTGTAAGTATTTTGAAAAACTAGGAAGAAAAATATTTTATTATTATTTGGGTTTTTGAGACAGGGTTTCACTATGTAGTTCAGGCTGGTCTTAAACTTACTATGTAGTCCAGGCTAGGCTTGAATTTACAGTAGTCCTCCTGCCTCAGCCTCCTAATTGGTGGGATTATAGGCATGTGCCTCCATGCCTGACAGAATATTTTAAAATATAGCATAGTAGCACTAGTTGTATTATGTTACTCATTCAGATTTCTGTTTACTTTGCAGTGTATGATATATGTGGCAGATTGCCTTTGTCCTTCAAAAAGGCGCAAACCACAGTCATACTCTTCAAGTAAGTATATTTAAGATTTTTTTTTGTTTTTTGGCTATGCAAGGATCCAGCCTTGATTGTTGTGCGTGCTAAGCAAGCACTCTACCACTAAGCTACATTGTCAGCTCTCCCCACCTTTTTTTGTTCACTTTAATCCCATTCATTGCTGTAAACATACTCACACTCTTCAACAGATTGGCCTCCCATTCAGGTTCCTAAGTGTGGAGTGGTTTCTTCCGGCTCTAACATAAAGGAAGGGGGAAGATACATATTTCATGTGGGAAATAACATATTTTGTGGTAGTCTAGTAGATTTTGGAACACTATTATTTTCTTGACTCTTACAATGAAAGGCATTACATATAGCTTATAGATACTTAATAACATTGATCCGGTATTAATTTCAGAATTTTATGTTTTTCATGGATCCACTTGAATATATATGTGAGACAAAATTTTTTTTTTTTTTTTTTGGGCCAGAGTTTTGCTATGTAGTTTTTGCTAAGTAGCTTTGAGCTCATTTTGTAGCCCAAGCTAGTCTTGAACTCATAATGATCCTCCTGCCTCAGCCTCCCAAGTGCTAGGATTACAAGAGTGCACCACCATGCCCGGCGAGACAAAATTTTAAACTTGAATTTATTCCACTTTTGAAGTCATTCACTAGTATAATGATCACATTTGAAGATTCTTCTTTATATCTAGCTAATTTTTACTTTTTTGAAAGAATACTTGGAAAACTTCCTATCATTGATTTAAGCTTAATATTGGCACAACTATACTACAGAAGGGGTTTATATTGTTAGAAGCGTTTATTGCTGCTTGTAATGTAAGTGCTTATCCAATCTTTTATATTTTAATCTTGGAAGATTATACTGTTAACAGAGGTCCTCCTGTTTGTAGTTTGTGTAGAACTTTCACTTAATATGATCTGCTGTTTTTCAGCACTTTGTGGCTGACTGCATATGTGATACTGCTCCCTTTTGTAGTTGAGGAAGTGAAGGTTGAAGGAGATGAAGGTCACATAAACATGACAAAGCTGGATATAGACCTAAATTAGACCTAAGATCTAGATTTACTCCATGATAATGCCTTGCTTGGCTTAAGTTTTATCAAGGTCAAAACTCCTGAAATGAAAATGGTAGATAGTTCATTGACAGCCTGCTTTGTCCTTCAAATACCTGATAGGACATCTTTTTTATTCCTACATGTGTTGATGCTAAGGGGGTGTGTGTAGAGGAAGGAATTGTTTTATCCGACAAAGATCACTGACCTGTAAGGAAAAAAATGTAGGCACAAATTAATTAAAAGACAAGGTTTTGAAGTGAAATGAGTATAAAACGTTTATTCAGCTTTTAAAGTTTGCATAAAACTAGTTTCCAGTAGCGCTGTCCTGTGGCAACCGAAGGTATCTTCAGTCTTGCAGAGTCTGGAGGATAGTACTGCTCCTGGTGGAGATAGTCTGTTTTTTTTTTTTTTTTGTTTTTCTCCGGTACCGGGAACCGAACTCACAACCTTGCACTTGCCAGGCAGGCGCTTTTGCCGCTGAGCTAAATCCCCAGCCCCAGATAATCTGTTATAATCTGTAGTACTCACCAGAACCACATGGGATGTGATAAAGGACAGAGCCCATTAACTCAGCAATAAAAGGGATGCCAGGCAGACAGAACATGTTACCTGTGACTGTGACTGGTGGATTCAAAGTGGTGTGCTCTGACCTTAACTAGTAACTGGCCCTGCAAAATATAGAAAGGGTAACCAAATTTATTATGTACATATTTTGTTATCTGTAATTATGTCTTAAAAATTATATAGATGAGGAAAGGAAAGGGAAGCACATTTATAAGACTAGAAAAAATATGGACACAAGAATGTAACCTTTAATGTAAATTTGTCTTTCTTGCTTCCCTGGGAACTGAACTGTTACAGTTCTAGTATAGTTATAGACGAAAAGATTGCTAGCAAATTAATAGGATACTTTTATGATATTTTTTCTTACAACTTCTACATTTACAGCATTAAAGCTGATTCATTTATTTAGTGTGTAAATTAAGTGGATACTTAGAATCAATTTGGTAAGTAAAATACATCTTCCAAACTAGTTTTTATGATCTTTACTGTTTTTTCTTTTTTAATAATTTAGAAATTGATGCAAACCATTTTTTCCTTGATTCAGCTCTAAAGCAAATACAATACATCAGTAAAACCACCTTATCTGGTTTTTGTCTTTAAGAAAAACCATTACCAGAATTTTCTCAACCTTTGGAAAAAATGGTGGAGGAACACGAGGCTGCTGAAGAAGATATTTCAGAAGAAGTAGCAGGAAGTAAAGAAGGAGCAAACAAAGACTTTCCGCAGAGTGCCATAAGACAGCGCCCTGTGGGTCCGTCGTTGCCCACAGATAAATCCTAGTTAATTTTTATAAATATCTCTTAATGTTGTGATTCTGATAAAACAAAATTGGTCATTTCTTTTGTTTTAAAGTGAACTATAATTTGTATATTGCAGAGTTCAGTCTAGATTGTCATTGAACATTTTTGTTCAGAAAATACAAGCAGGTGTAAAAGTTTGAAATAAGATCTGAGAATATTGAGGTTTAAACAGTTGCTTAATGTTAGAAAATCTGGTGCCAAGCAATAAGATTTGTGTGTTTAGTAATAACCTCTTTCAAGACTGAGTTAGAAAGTCATATTTCCTAAGATTTACATTAATTGGGGGTATTTAAGAAGATTACTTAGAGAAAAGAATTTCTCATTTGATGTATTTTTTCTCAGTTTCACTGTGTGAAAAGAACATATTTCCCATAAATGGGAACTTTGCCCCTTATCTCAAGAAATGTGTATTTCAGTGATAACTTGGTCTTTAGAGTTATAGTCCAAAATTTCTTCATTTTTTAGATTATGCAGCTAATAAAAACTCTTGTTTAATTAGTTTTCTTTTTAACTTCGTACACAGGATATGCTACTGATTTAAGTTTTTGTAAGTCCTTGGTTCTCTTGATTCCTATAAAGGTTGATTACCTATTCCTTTTTTCAGTTATATGGTTCCTTTTTTCTTTTTTTGACTGTGGGTTACATTTTTCAAATTGGATGCTCTGAACAGTATCACTATTAATGTTTACTGTTGGTAAACAGAAGTTTTGTTGTTTTACATTGAAGTTTACTAAGATTCATCAGATTGAGCTACTGAAAATTTAAAAGTTTGGCCAATCAGTCCAGATGCTACAGTATGGTTGTTGAAACTTGTCTTGAATTTTTCTTTCTGTATTTGTTTTTATTTTAATGTGGAGGTGGACATTCCTGATTTTTATTTGGTATAGAAAAGCTTTGAAGTTTTATATTTTGGAAATTCAAAGCTTAATTTGATAAAAAGTAACATTTGCATTCTGCTCAGGAAAAAACATCCGTACATTTTCATTATATCTTTGTCACTATATGCAAAAAGTTCTTAATTGCATTTGCAGTTAGTGGATGCTTGATGTTTTAAAATCATAATATTGTTAATGTTTTTAAAAAGACAGGTGTCATATTTTATGGTTCTTGATTGCTAATGTTGGGTGGTATCCCAGGTGGAAATCAGCAATGTGGACCACATAATTTTTACCTGACAGCAAAGGGCAGGTGAGATAGAGGACTCTTATTAGCCAGGAGAGAGGGAAAAATCATACTCAGAAGGGATCATCCAGCCATTGTATGATAGGTGATTTCTGTGATGTCTTCCCCTTTTTTTAGGTTCTCTGTGTGTGAATCCATTAGATTGGCATTACCGTAATGTATAACAGTGTTCCTTTAAAGGCTTCTCCTTTAGACTCTTAAAATATTCTACCAGTGCAGAGTTTGGATGTGTAACTTGTGATGCCTTAGAAAAATACTCTAAGCACAAAATAAACTTTTCTAAATACTTCACTAGCACTGAAGACGAGTGTGATTTCTAGTTGGATATTTGAAAGTCTATACTTAAATGCTTCGTATTTAACAGTGTTTCAGATGAGTAATTGTGTGTTCCTATGTACTTTATGTGTGTAAGTAATTAAAAGGGTAGAATCTTAAAAGTCTTTTGTTACTTGAGATGATTGAGGAAAATAATGCTCATTCAGGCATTGTTTTCTAGTGTTCTAAAGTGTTTGACGTCTTCAGGTTTTTGCTTAGATGATACCATGTTACAGAAAATTAAAAGTATGCCGAACAAATAGTCTCTTGATATTTTCATAAACATGATCTCAGAGTTCTTGAAAGTGTCACTGCAGACACCTGAATGATTAATTTTCTGTATTATACCAGAGGTTTACAGAAACTATGGGATTGTTTTCAAATGGTCTGCGAGTGAACAGTATGGACTGCCAGTAACATCTTGGAGAATCTGGTCCTCCCACCCTCTGTAATTATTCAGCTTCACCACTGAAAGACTGTAAAGTCTGGTCTCTAATGGGAAAGGAAGTGTTCTGCCACATTATGCTTAATGATTATCAACAAGACTGAAAACAGTCCTAATGATTCCTGGCTTTGTCAAACAGCGAACTACTCAGAGAACCTCTTGGAACTGTTTTCCTGTATTAATTCACTTAGTCCTAACAGCTGCAGTGTGAGACAGGTAAGCATTTTTCAGGAGAACAGGCTTAGTTGTAGAAAAAGATAGTTTGAATCCAGTTCTGATTCCAAATACTATTGTCACTTTTTTCTGAGTACTAAAAGCTTAGTAATGTCTTTCTAGCCTTAAAAATCTCACTTCTATCAGACTATAGCAACAAATGCTATTCAGAAGTACCATAATTACTCAGTATTTGTTGTCTTGTAACGTTGGTTATTACGAGGCGTAAAGATATTAAAGTAAATGGTATTTTTAAAAGCAGCTTTTTCTCAACTTGTGTCCTTCAGCCCAATACATGAAATGTATGTTGCTGGACTTCAACCTTTTTTTTTTTTTTTTTTTTTCTGGTACGGGGAATTGAACTTACAACCTTGAGCTTGCCGTGCAGGCGCTGTGCCACTGAGCTAAATCCCAAGCCCCAACTTTAACCATTTTTGAGTGACCCTTTTCACTTATTTTAGGGCTAGGGAGGACATTATAAGGTAGAATTTTATAAGGTAGAACTTTTCCAGTAAGTTACTTCTGATTTAAGTTGTTATCAAAATGATTGGGATTGAAGTTTTTTCAGTTTAATTTTTTATTAGTGCATATTGGCAGTGCAGAATACATTCCTACTCTTTCCCTCCCTACTCCATTTCGTGATTCCCTTCCTATCTCTGTACTTTTATTATCTAATATTTTGCTCTTCATTGGGGTTGAAATTTAAGATTCTATAATTGCAGAGGTAAAATTTTAAATTGGAAGATCCTTTCCGAACTAGATACATTGATATTGCATATCTAGCAACTTTTGTATTTGAAATTTAATGGTAGAAGTGGAGCAACAAATACTGATGTTGGAAGTTTGGTAATACATAAGGTCAAATTATGTACTTGAGCAAAAACAGCATTCCTTTTTAAAAATATTTTAAAAATTCATTTAAATGGTGATAACAGTATTTTGGCCATTAGTGAAGTCAGCTTGAACTAGCAAGATTACTAGTTCATCAGAGTAATAGTTCAGGTATTTGCAAGGTTCAACTTACTGCTACCTGGCAGTTCCTAGGAAATTTTGTCTGAACTTTTATCTCCTCTAGAATGTACTATATATTTCAGTAGAAATTTTAAATGCTTTTAACTGTTTGCCTTACCCCTGCCCCAATTAATATTCCTGATATGTTTAATAAATCAGGTGTTTGTGAGTTGGTTCATGTCTCTCTTGGTTTAAGGCTTAGCTTAAATTTTTTAGGACCTTTCTTTTCTGTCCCTCACAAACTATCATGTGTTTAGCCATTCACTGGCAGCTAAGTCAGGTTATGATTTGTAATAGTTCTTTTGTATTTATTACACTGATTATTTGAGCTAGCAAATTACTGTTTTTGGGTCTTGTTTTTGTGTAAACTGATTGCTGAGGTTTCATTGCTTTGAACAAAGTAATCATTGCATTTGCAGATTGTCTCTGAAAATAACCTGATTCTGTCTCTAGAGCCCGTTAGTCTCAGGCTAAGAGTGGTTTCCTGGAAGCAGCATTGAGCATTGATTGTCGTGTTTATCAAATGAGTCATTGGGCCATAACTCAGTCTACTGAAGTGGAGCAGGAAAAGTCTGCCTTACCTTTTACTCGTGGTCAGCACTATTGTGGCACAGTACTAATGTTCCATCCTTCACAGCAGAAGCCAAGTTTTTGTTGTCCCCTATCGCCCTGCATCCGTGTGCTTGAGGGGATGCTGACGCTGTTATCTTTGCTACTAGGGCTACTCTGGTCCAGTCGCTGACAATAGATGTGTCCAAATTGAACTAGTGAGATATTGGGGGCCTTTTACAGTGCTGGGAATTGAATCCAGCACCTTTACACTGAGCTGTGTCCTCAGTCCCGCCCTCCTTCCCCCTTTCCGTTTTTGACACAGGGTCTCGCCAAGTTGCCCAAAATGGGCTTGTACTTGTGATCCTGTCTCAACCTCGCAGAGTGCTGGATTACAGGTGTTTACTATTAAATATCCAGCTTCATTAGGGACCTCTTAAAAGATGAAGCTCAGAAGAAGCGGTTGTCCTATGCAGTTTGGCACTATCTGGATGTGACAGAATTTTGTGGGCATCCCACAGCCCGAGAACAGAGTTGGGAGAATCTCAAGCCCTGGCATAGCACACCCTGCCTCTGCACATCTTGAGATTTTGCTTACTCCCTAACCGTTTTGAGTCAGACTTCTTGCTTACTTGAAACTAAAGTATGAATGACTCACTTCTCTGGACTTGAATATTGTCTTAGCTTAACCCAGCTGAGTTCCCAGGGCTCCTCCGAGAGGAGTCACTCCAAGCCATGGTTTACTTCGAGATCAGGACAGGAAGATTGTATGTATGTGACTGAAGCTAATTCATGGGCCACACCAGGCATGCGGGGTAAGGAAAGGTTAAGTGAGTGTAGTTTTGGGGAGCTATTTTTGATTGTAATTTATTACACTAGGCTCTGCAAGCCTTAGGAGATGACATCCTGGAATCTTAGTGTCAGGTTTTCCGGAGTAGCTGTTTAGTGTGAAATCAGGCTTTCAACCTAAGAGCCCTGTTTGATATTTATATTGTTTCATATTTACATTTTTATGTTAGGTAAACAAATGTCTTGTTCTAGATGGTGGCTTGAGTCTTCTACTGAGAATAGGGGCACTATAAATTAGGAATTATTTTGTCAGTTTGGGGAGAAGGAAGGAAAGATTGGAGTATAGTCTGTTTATATTGGCTGGAGTGGTTCTTCGTCTAATGTTTATGAAAGTGGATTTCATTAGAATAAATTTTTGAGGTGATATTTTACAAACTTGTCAAGAGTTGTCATTTTTTAAATTATTTTTTTCAAGCTTGTCAAATGCTTTGATACCTTATTGCTGGGGAAACCAAATCACTTGGTATGTTTTAGTACCATGTGACATACAGACTTGTTCAGTTATGTTCAGTGTTTATGATGAGTTTGAGATGTTAAATGGCTTCAGCTTTCAGGCTGAATTTTAATCCTAGGATACGCAAACTGTAAAATGACGTCGTATCTTACCTTTGGATAAGAACAGAAATTGTAGCACACAAAGCAGGATGATGCAATTTTCAATAATCTTTGGACCTGTCCTTTATTTTGAGATTATACCCTTAACTTTTTATTTCTTAACTTTTTAAGGCCCTGGTAATTTTTGTAAAATTAGGGAATTTTGGCCAGACATGGTGGCACATGCCTGTAAATCCCAGCTCTTGGGAGGCTGAGGCAGGATGATCGTTGTGAGTTTGAGACCAGCCTGGGCTACAAAGTGAGTTCAAGGCTAGCCTGAACTGCATAGCTAGACGCTGTCTCAAAAAGACAGAAAAAAACAATTAGGGAATTTTATGGGGCTGAAGTTTTCATATTGGACAGCTCATGAGAGACAGGAAGTAAGGACTCAGCCAGTTGGCTTTTTCATACTTTGCAAATTGTTCTTTGATTTACTGTAAGCCATGCTGTGTTGTACGACTGTAAAGTGAAATGTCCTGTTCACGTTGTTAAACAGAATCCAAGTGTTTGCCCTAAAAGGACTGTTGGCATAAGAGATTTATCAGCTGGCCATTAGTCACAGTCTCGAGTTTTAGTATCTGTGCTGCTGAAGTGAGCATAGTAGCCGTTTCTGTTCATGTTCATGTGAAGATAGAATAATCAACGTGAATGATTTTCTTTGAATTTTAGTTGCATTGGTGACATCTGATGGTAACAAACTCGTAAGTTCCTGCATTTTTCTTTTTCATCCTTGTACTGTCGTTCTTTGGCCTGAGCTAAAGGATTCACACTGATTATCTAGTCAGATTTTCATTGCCGATTATGATACGTTGGTGTGTCAGGTTTCCCAGATGGTAGTTTCAGCATTCATAAATTAGTTTTTCCCTCATTTTATTGAATTATTTGTTCAATCATGTGATAGGACAACACTTGCATAGCAGCGTGTAAAACTTGGCAGTCACCCATCTGAGCCCCTGTAACTAATACCACGAGGATTATGGTTGGAGTTTATCGGCTTCAAAGCCATTAGTCAGCAGTGGCCAAATAAAGCCAGAGAACAGACTTCATCTCCGGTGTGATGAGTGTGCAGAACCAGGTATAGGATTACTAGCTACGTTACCTGTCATAATTCAGATAGCTGGAGAACTCTGCAGATAATTACTTACTTCCTCCCAAAACAGTACGTGCCCCTCTTGAGATGCCACTGTTAATCTAATGGGCTTCTAATTGAGTATCCTGAAGCTTTTGGGTGAGGAATTTCCTAGCCTGGCAGCTTTGTGTAGCTGCCCTGCTTGTCTCACCCGAACCGTTCAGGCTTTCTACCTCTAGGCCTCATAAAGTGAAGAGGCTTGAAGAGAAAAGACAGCAATCCTGAATCCACTTTGCACAGTTAGGTTTTCATTTTCATAAACCAAGTCTTCTATCATTATGTTACAGAATCTCTTCTAAGAGGTGAAATTGCTAAGTCAGAACAGACGTGTGATATCAGAGACTTAACCTGAGGACAGGTATTAGTTCACTAGTGTTGCAGACAGCAGTTTGCAGGTAGTGGCCAATAGTCTCCTGTGTCACAGATTCAGTTGTGTTAAAAATCCAGTCATTGGTCACGTCGGTGCCCCCTC